AAATACGGAAAACACTCACCCAAAAAAGGTGGCTTTACAGTTGAAATACGAAGACAAGACAGAGATAAACAGAAAATAGATAATCAATGGATAGTACCATACAATCCTCTACTTTCCAAAATGTTCCAAGCACACATAAACGTAAAATACTGCAATTCAGTGAAATCCATTACATACATCTGTAAGTATGTGAACAAAGGCAGTGACATGGCTGTATTTCATATAGCGAAAGACAGAAAACATCAAAATAGAAACGAAGAGATCTTTGTGTAGCAAATAGGAAGATAAATCAACAGTAACGAAGCAGCGTGGCGGATTTTCGGTTATCCTATATACGTATACGAACCAACTGTACAACATCTAGCAGTACATTTAGAGAATGGACAGAGTTTACTTTACAAAAGATACTGTCAGAAAAATTGCGAACGAACCACCTAAGAACACAACAATGACAGCTTTTTTCCAACTGTGCCAAACTGATTTATTCGCGAAAACATTTCGATGTCCCTACCTATTATACAAGAAACACAACAAATAATTCTTTCAACGACGGAATCAAGGAGTTCCAGTAGAGGAACATCCAGGAATCATAAAAACTAACGCAGTAGGCCGAGTATACACCATACATCCCAACAATGCTGAATGTTTCTATCTTCGTATGTTATGACATAAAATACAGGGATCAAAAAATTTCACAGATCTCAAGACTGTTGATGGTTATCAATGCCAGATGTACACACAAGCATGCCGAAAATTTTCTTAAAGAAGAATAAATGTAGTTTGATATTATGAGTCTTAAGTATATTGAATATTGAAAAAAATGGTCATGTATGAAGGATTTACAGTGCTTGTATTGAAATTGCCACCATCTATGCATATGCACCTCTTGATACAATGATTGCGATGTATCAACATCCGTTTGTATACCTCTGGTTGCATCAATTTCTAATTTACGGACAAGCATTAGAGTCACATAACTACTTTATCCGGCTTTGGTGAAAGACAGCTCTGAAAGTTGAGAATGAGAAACTTATCTAAACTTACGGTGCGAGTGAATGTACGGCTCCTTGGTAGGTTAAGTAGTAGAGCAACTGTCCAGTAAATAGGAGGTTGTGTGTTTAATCCGCACCCGGGGAGGATATTTTTCTCATTCTTATTTATTTTCTTAAGAAAATTTTCTTGAAGAAGAATTAATGTGGTTTGATATAATGAGTCTTAAGTATATTGGATATTGAAAAAGAAGGGCATGTATGAAGGATTTACAATGCTTGTATTGAAATTGCCACCATCTATGCATGTGCACCTCTTGATACAATGATTGCGATGTATCAACATCCGTTTGTATACCATTGGTCGCATGAATTTCTAATTTACTGACAAGCATTAGAGTCACATAACTACTTCATCCGGCTTTGGTGAAAGACAGCTCTGAAAGTTGAGAATGAGAAACTTATCTCAACTTGCGGTGCGAGTGAATGTACGGCTCTTTGGTAGCTAAAGTGATAACTGTCTAGTAAATAGGAGGTGGTGTGTTTGATCCGCACCCGGGGAGGATATTTTTCTCATTCTTATTTATTTTCTTGAGAAAATTTTCTTGAAGAAGAATTAATGTGGTTTGATATAATGAGTCTTAAGTATATTTGATATTGAAAAAGAAGGGCATGTATGGAGGATATAGAGTGCTTGTAATATAAAGTGCTGCCAACTATGCAAATGCGCCTCTTGATACAATGATTGAGATGTATCAACATTCGCTTATATTTCATTGGTCGTATGAATTTCTTATTCAAATATTGCTTATAACTATGCCAATCCTGAGTGGCTATTTTAGAGGGCAATTTCAGCAACTAAAAATTCTAATGTCGATGCTGTCAAGTTTTACATTCAAACGAAAATTCTTGGTTATGAGAGGAAACATAAATCGATCGACACGATGGTAAACGTTAAAGAAAGTGTCAACTTTTCTACAGAATTTTTTAATTTTCGCAAGTATCAGGTTTGCCATAACATTGTCTTTTACTGAAAATCAGATCTCTCATCACACTACTTAAAAATCTCAAGTCACTAAAACTACGTATTGGAACAAGGATGATCGTCAAACACCTATCTAAAAAACATTATCGAAGCCGAACTTATGACTGGAAAGAACAAAAGACAAATAGTATTTATTCTCAAAATACCACTGATCTCTACTGAAGTGCCATTCCAATTTAAAAGACTGCAATTTTCAATCAAATTAGCCTATAGTCTTACAATCAACAAAGCGCAAGCATAGACTTCAAAATATTGCAGCATCAACCTCAAAGACTCCTGCTTTTCTTTTGATCAACTATATGTAGCCTGCTCTCGAGCAGGAAATTCTGAAAATTTAAACACAAATACCCTGGAAAACAAAATGAAAAATATTATTTACAAGTAAGTATTTTAACTAAAAGTATTGTAATTAACATTTATTTTTTCAATAAAATATTGTACCTCTCATATTTTAAAGTTTATTCTTTAGTTCTAACTAACAGACAATTTTATACCAAGTACCTGAGCGAGGCTGGGTACCTCATCTAGTTTTTAAATAAAAAAAAAAACATTTGAATTATTTTATTTAAAGGGGACCGTGGAGAACCTACTTAGAGGATATAGAATATCGATATAACTCAGGAAGAAACATACACATATTAATAGTTATTTGGTTTTTAATTATTTTGCATCAAGGTTATAGTGTAGTCCTTTAGTCATTGAATTTTATTTTGACGCTTTTTTTCTGCCCTCACCTTCATAATAGTACATGTAAAAAGAGTGCAATCTGAGTTTTGATGTCTGAATGTTATGAATTTTTTCTTAAATTTTTTTTGTATTTTCAAGCTTGTTTACTTTGTATTTATTTTAACTGTAGTTTAATAAAATATGTTTGTGAATTTAACTATATTTTTAATAATCACGTTTTAATTTTTAATTATTCATCATTTCCTGTGGTTATAACTTTTTAGTATCACTTGCTATCCAATTTTTTTAGTTCTTTGCATAAGTAGCGTGAGTAATGTATTTTTTTCTTTTTTTTAATAAAATAAAATGCAAGTTTCAAAGTGATGCATGATGACAACATTCTTTTAGCGCCAATGTATTAGATTTATAATTTTGATTATTTATCTAATGAAGTGCAATAAAGTTACGTGGTAAGGTCCAAAAGTTTCTGGTCTGAACTATAAAATATAGGAAAAATCTCAAATCACTTTTATTATTCCTCAACGTAATCACCCTTTATTTTAATAATTTTTTTACAGCGCTTAATCAACATTTCTATACCCTTCAAAAAATAGTCCGAATATTTCCCTTGAAAATGTTTCAACACTGCTGACTCCACTTCTTGATCAGTGTTCAACTTTTTTCCTCGTAAGTCTGATTTCAATTTTGAGAATAAATAATAGTCTCTTGGGGCCAAATCTGGACTATACGGTAGATGATTGAGCTCTGTGAAACCGCATTCTTTAATGATCGCCGTTGAAACACCTGATGTGTGAACCAGCGCATTGTCATGAAACGACTACACTCCTCGTGACAATTTTCGTCGACGTTTTTTTTTAATAGCATCTCGCAACTGATGCAACAAGGAAGCTTAGTATTTGCCCGTCACCTTTTTTTTGCGATTGAGTCACCTTTGTTTTTTTTGGCCTTGGTGATCTCGGACGATCCCACTCCATCGATTCCCTTTTTGACAGAGAAATATGAAGGAGAATATTGCCAGTATACAGCATCCAAACGATGTTTGATTTGTAGGCGTGTTGCCTTGTTTTGTTAAGAATCTGATCACAACTCGATACTCAATTTTATCCGTTTCGAATTTTTAATCGACTATCTGACTTTAACATGCTGTATCTTTCTAATGAAATATAAGGACTTAATATCTTTTATTAACTATAAATCTAGTAATTTAATGACAGGTTAGTTTTGTGTCTCCGATTATTGTAATGTAGGAAGGCCGGAAACGTTTAGACCTTACCACGTATATTAGTAAACAGACTAATAATCAGATTCATGATTTACAAGTAATTTTTACATTGTCATTGTGCAATAAAAATTCAAGTACTTGGTGAATCAAGGACAATGTCAAAAGTGTTCTTCTTTTAATTACTTGCATCTTAAACCAATTGGTGTAACAAAAAAGATACTTTTGATACTTTTTCCTAATATCCTCAAAGCGGTTAAGGACGTTCATCACACATAGCGTTTTTGGTAGAATTTTCCTTAAATTTTAACATGAGGTTTGTAATGATGTTATTAAGTCACATATCAAATTTGAGACCGTTTCACAATACCATTTTTTAGATATTTAATGTTGAAAAAACTTCAATTTAGCACGTTAGCTTATAGACGAGTCACATAAAAATGGAATTCATAAGAAAATGGGTGATAGAATTCATCCAATCTTTTTTGCATCCTGCCATACCGTAATACTGGTATGATATTCAATTTTCAGAGAGATTGACAAGTTATTTTTGTAATTAAATTAAAAAACAACAGTGACATTCGCGTGTATATAGGTTTACTAATGCATGCGAAACAGTTCCTGGCGCTGCCGCATGCTTGCTTCCCCCTTACTGCACTCCCTACGTTTTTCCTCTAACTGTAATAAACGTCCTTCATTAATTGCTTGCCTTTTTTATTAGTTTCTTATCTAGTTTTTATATTAACGAGTTTCTAGCCTTTAAAATCAATGTAAGAAAAACATATGAAAAACATTAAATTTCTTTTTTAACTGTTGAGTTACCTTCTTTATTTATTCGTTTTCAAATTATTGTTAAGTGCGAAATTATTAGGCAAGATAAACAGAAGGTTAAATAGTATGAAATACCTTTTCTGAAGATCAGCTATGCGCTCTTAAGTATTTGTGAGAGTAGATTTTACTTGACTTTATCATACATTTATGATTATCTTATGAGCATATTGAATATTGATGCTTGCCTTTATTCACTTACTTTTGCCTCATACATAATTATTTATTTTAGAAATTGAACATGATGGCAGTTTCAGAAATAACAGGAAATATTTTGATTTACTCTGGAGTTATACCAATAGGAAAATTACAAATTCCCAGCATTAGTTCTCATATTGTTGAAAATCTGTACGTAACACCGAATTCTGCTGAAAAATATCTCAACTCTCCGTTCCCACGAGGAAGCTCTCTTATTTCACCAAGTAAATCTTCAACACCAGATGTAAAATTTGATGCTGGATTACATTTGTTAAACTCAGTTAATACAAACTTTTCTAGCTTAAACAATGCAAATCATGTATTGTTTAACAGTAATACAACAAAGTTGAAAAGCGCCGTTATAAATAAGATTATTATAGAGTACAAAAACTTACGGTACTTTAAAATTGTACTCCCATCAATGAGAGCATCCCCGATAGGTATGTATTTGCGAATTTCATTTATTCTTAATCTAAATGTCTTCTTTATTTTTTAACTATATCCTATTTTAAACTCTCTTTGGAATGTTACTATAGTGATGAATAGCTTATTTTGATTCATACTAAGGTTCTGCAAATTAATAAGCTTATCATTGCGTGAAAAACAATCGGCTATCTAATATGTTGACACACATTTTTAGACGAATAATCTTTTTCTTAAACATTTAAAATTGAGATTTACAAAAGGAAATGTACTGTATGATTATAACAATGAAATTAGTTTGTTAGTGCTGACCTGCTTTTTTGAAACTATTCGTTAGTGTGCATACGAAGAATTTGAATGATTTCGTTTCCCATTGAAGCAAGGTTTTGTTAGCTTTTTGTGCCCTCAAGCTATCCTTCATGCTCTTAAACTTGGACGCAAATGAACAGCCACCATGCCCTGAGAGCACTAAAATTGTACTTGTTATTCTTGGTACAAAATGTATTATTTTGTACCTCGAAGTATTTTTTCTTGTACTTGGACGATAACTGCGCCCTTGGAAGCAGAAATAGTGTTTGCCAGCTTTTCTGTGATAAAAGCTACTGATTATAATTGGCGATGTTTCTACATATAACCTAGAATTTTAAGGCAGACGTTTGATTATTTATAAGCAAGTCTATGATTCCTTTCTATAAAATGTTTTATAAAGTTGCCTAGTGGACATATATTTTTTATGATTTTTCAAAAGCTTTTAGTAATTTTTTAGTACCTTGCTTTGTCATAAAAGTTAAGATTTATTTTGTTAGAGAATGCATCATTCTAAGGGTTGATGGCCTTCCCTTACAGCCCACGTAATGCATAAATTTTTAAGTGATTAGTTTTCAAAACTTAACCTGTTGACATGATTTAAAACTTTGATAATTGATTAGTTTCATACTTAATTGTAACTACTTCAAATTTTATTCATAGTTTAAGTATTTTGATTATACAATAAGTTATGTTAATTGAAAAAACCTTTTTTAAAGGTCTATTAGCTCTATGTTTCACTTTTATCTCTTAATAGACTTAAATAAAGAAGCGACAATATTTAAAAATGTAGTCATAAGATAATTTCTTCTTTCTGTAGATTATAACTTTCGTAACACAATGTTTTCCATTTGACAAGAAAAATAATTTAATTTTAAAACTTAGCTACAAGCAATGAAACGAGTCTGCTGGTATGAAAATTTGCATAATTCTTGTTGTATCAATGTGCTCACAATTGTAACATCCTGGTGTTTTGTGAAATTAAAATTTTTAAAAAGTATTTAAATGTGTATTGAAATAACATTTAAAATTTGCTTTTCCTATTTTTGTTTTTAGCGCGTAATTTCTTAAATTTAAAATTCTGAAGTGGGTATGAAAGTATGATTTCTCAAAACTGAGTCAAAGATTAATACATTAGAACCAAAAAAAGACTCTACTACAAGGATGTAAGAATAAAAGAGTAGAGATTTAGAAAACTAAAACGGTATTATGACTAATATGAAGTTCTTATCAAAAAAGCCCAATATGCAGGAACAAATGGGCTTGTAAACTTAGATTCAATGAGGTAGTTTGTACTTCCGTGAAAAAAGTGTTAACCTACTGGCCTATTTACTATACTTAAGACTGTATCAAGCATTTACTTTTTTAATGATATTTTACAGGTAAATAATTGAATTTTAAAACGATACAAATATGCATGCGTACTTTAACAAAAATGTTTGGATCTGTTTGTATGTTATTTCATTTCATGAAGTTACTTTCACAGTTTTAAAGATGTATTAGTATGTAAAATTTATAATTACTAATTACATTCATGACATAAATATATATAAGGATTACTGTGACATTTGTTTTTGTATCAAAGTTATCACAGATACAGGAATCCTTCTTAATACAGCTGTATGGAATGTATCTAAAAATGTAAACCCACACTATACTTATCATGAATTTTTATAATTCGTTGAAGTTACTTAAAAAGTTATTCGCAAGCTTATGAAAAAAAATGTTAGGTATTTAAAGCTCAATAATTCAAAACGCAGCAAATTATGTTGCACTGTGTCTAAAATTACATATACGTACTTGGAAAGTTTTGTAGAACTAGTTCTACTTTTTTAAACTTGTTTAACATAATTTAATAAGTTATAAACAATTTAAAACATAGAGAAAATCAGCTTTCGTTGAATAAGAATTGATAACTTAGTCCAGTATGATCCAAAAAATACAAATATGTACACATCTTATTCATTAGGTAATCACAAACTTTGGTGTTTATCAACACTAAATTTTTAAAAATATTATAGCACAATTTAGCCAAATAAAATGAAGCTTATCTTCACAAAACTGTTGATAACATAACCCAGCATGATGCAATAGATATTGAATTGGTCATACGTACACAAGTATCGAACAACATTAAGCTTACCATCACACATAAAATGTTATTTAGAAATCCATAATAATTTTGTACACAGAACGTATTTATTTTCTTATTATAAAAAATTTCAAACCTAATTCAACGTAACTCTAGGGATTAAAAAATCCATACAACTACTTAGACTACAGTTGGTCTCACGTATTTTTTTGCCAACATTTGTGAAAGGCTACAAACAATGCTATAATTAATTGAAACAAAAAAAACATTGTTTCTGTTTGTTGCGTTTGTTTACGTGTACAATTTTTGACCTCTTACACTGCGGTAAACCGAGTTTGTAAACATTTTTGGTTAGACAACTAATATTTTCCCTGTATGCGTGACTTATAACTTTTTCAATACCATATAGTTTGCAATGACAAGTATTGTTAATTGTTATCAATCATTGTCTAAGTTATTGTGTGCAATTTTAGACTTCTTGAAAATTGATGGAACGTGTAACAATTTTTTATTTAAAGGAAACTTATTATCATTCTGTCAAAATTGATAAAACTGATAAGAAATTTATTGTATGGTGTTCAGCGTAAAGGGTGTTATAGTTCTAAGTTCTAAAATATGTTTTTATTAATGTATCTTAAAATTTGTGGTAACCGTAAGCGTGGATATTGTTTTGATACTGCAGATAAGCCTTATGATTGACGTGGTCCATGAGCTGCATCTACATTTTTAGTGTAGAAATTTGATATGCTGCAGTGGTACTGAACTTAAGGGATAAATATTCGCTTTTTAATATTACTACAATTTATGACAGTAAGAGTACATAACTTTAAAAAAATCGTCTGTCATTACTGTTTTTTAAACTTACGAACGTGAAAAATATTTCTGAACGGTTTGTTAACATATGCAAGAACAAATAATACTTCAGGGTTGTATACATACCGTCCTTACATCTACATAAGTACATATATTACGTAAGTGCAGATGATGAAAATTATGTAAGTAGCGTACGGATAGAAATTCAAAATCATAAAAGTATGATTCATATTTAAATATATTACTTATAAATTTTATTTTTACTCAAAACTCAAAAATTTTCTGTGTAGTGATTAGTAATTCTATGTAGTGATTAGTAATTCTATGAAATTTCATTCTGTGTAAAAAAATGATAGCTCAATTATTGTATAAGAGTATAATAATAATTATTAAAGGGAGTTGGGTTGCCGTGGTCGCATGGGTAACACGCTCGTGCACGGCACGTAGCACAAAAAAAGCTGGCACGCGGGTCGAAAGTGATTAAAAAGTCTAAAAAAAGAAAAAATAGATAAAGTGAGACCCGGTGATCGATTAGAAAGTATTAGCTCAAAATAGTGCGCGTGGAACCCAGAGAAAAGGAGAAAAAATCTTGGGTGTAAGACGGCGGGGTTAGAATACTGCAAGAAGAATGGCAGGAGCAATGAGGAAAAGGGAAGAGGAGGAGAAAAACACACCTAGAGACAAAGAGGGACACGAGAAGAAGAGCAGGGGACGACTAAAGAAAGTAAAATGTACAGACGAGGAGCAGGAAAAGAAAGTAAAGGAATCAGACGGAACAAGCATGGAAAGGTTCTTAAAGTGTGGAAGTATTGGCTTTGAGGTAGCAGTGAACGGAAGGAGAAAGGTAGAATATTTACCGGTAAAGAAGGTGATCGGTCAAAATCTAGGGGTAGGCAAAGGAGATGATATAGAGAAACTGGTGGAGGGAAAGCCAAAGGAAGTAAAAATTAGCAGGGGTAAAGAAGAAGCAGCGGAAGAAAGGGTGCAGGTAAGAGAGACAGAGAGAAGCGAGGACGGGAGAAAGATAAGGAAGGAGGCGGCAGGCATCGATCGGGACTTGATAACAACGGCAAACCAGCCGAGTAACTCCGGGAACCGGTGGATGGCAGCAGACGAGGCAATTGCGACGGAACCGAAGGCGTCGGGAGAGGCTTCGGGAAGAGAGGGGAAGGTGGACGAACCGGCAACGAAAGGAGAGCAGCAGTAGTCCAAAGGTACACAAGACAACGGCGGGAAAGATGAAATGAGTGAGGTACATACAATAAAAATTAACCAATTAGAAGCTAGGCTAGAAAAAGAGTGTAATGATAGGAAGACTATGAGCGAGGAATTAAAAGCTGTAAGAGATAGTCTAGGTAAGGAAAAAGCTGAACGTGAACAAATCTGGCATGAGTGGAACGAGGAAAAAAGAGGGGTTGAAATAAAAACAAAATAAAAAAAGGTAGACATTTCGTGAATAAGGGATACAACTAGGAAAAAATGAAAAACTGACTATAATTAGCATACATAACAATGTAAAAATAGATAGCGTTATAGATAAAATTGATATAATTGCGGAAGAGGCGATAGGAAAAGACGAAAAGATATTAATAGCGGGTGACTTCGATGCAAGAATAGGCGAATGGCAGATAAATTCGGAAGGGGTCAGGGAAGAGTCCAGAAACTCATGTGATAAAGTAACAAACAGAGAAGGACCAAACTGCTGAATATGTGCGAGGAGCTAGGTTTAACTATAAGAAATGAATATACCAAAGGAGATTGGAAAGGGAAGGTGACTTTTATAGGGGATGGGGGCAGTTGGGTTCT